AAAGACGGTAAATAATTAATTTTATGCTTGCATTATCACCTAGATAAGATCTGTTATCATCCATGTTATATTTTCCTGGTTAAGGAGTCATGTTGTATCTAATTTGCAGGCACTGCATCTTTCTTACTTGACATATGCAATAATGTCGGTACGGCAAGGTCAAAATGCAACCAAAAATATAAAAGTGGGGAGTACATTGTCAGCAACAAAACATTTGCAAAGTTAAAAGGAAAATGCCAATGGACAACGAAGACAATCAATTCATTGGCATTCACCCCAAAAAAAGACACTCCTTCCAAAAGATGAATACATCTGTTAGTAGTAGCATATTAGTATCTGAAGGCAAGTTTCAAAATTATTTTTCTGCATATTCATATATACTTATTTTATGTCTTAATCATTTCGATTTGTATGTATCTTTAAGTGTATATTTTTACACTTAATCGTACCTTTTAATTAGAGCTTTTGGTGTGTTTTAATGATAATTGGTGCTTAAAATGTTGATTAATTGTATTTTAGGTACAAATTGAAGAATTGGAAAAGTATGGGGTAAAAACTGCAATTTCGAAGAAAATATGGGCCAAAAGTGAAGAAGTAAAAAATCTAAAGATGTAAAGCCCAGACGGCCGTCCGAGTTTAGTACAAAATTTGGGACGGCCGTCCGAGATCACGAAGAGGCGCAGTAAAGGGATTTTAATTGCACAAGGAAACTGCTTTTTTCCCCAAGTTTTCCACCCTATATAAGACCAAACCAAACACACAATTGGGGATTCATCTTTTACGCAATTTCAAGAGCAACAAGGCAATAACGAAGATGAAGAATTCAAAGACTCCAAGCATAGATTTATCGTTTATGATTAATTTTATTTGCGTTTTTACTTTAATCATGAGTAGCTAAATTTCTTATTTCTAGGATTTTATTTGGAACCCTATGTGGGATTTATGAACCCTTTTCTATGATTTTATGCAAATTTTAATTCCGGATTATTTCTTCTACTTGTTTTATTAAGTGCATGAATTTGATCACCTTATGTGCTTTTATGTTATTCTTAATCACATGAATCGGAATATCGGGTTAATAATTAGAACTGTGGTAGAAGAGCCTTTGTGGTATTAACATAGGAATATAGTTAATCTTTTAGATAGCCATTATTGAGATTTGTGCTTAATGTTGTGCTCTAGAATTAATTGCGTAGGAATACAATAATTGAATCTAGAGTATTAGAATCGTAACACACGCGGAAGCGGGTTATGATTAATTTAACATCTTAGGTTAATAATTCGGGTTAATTACTTGCATAATTGAAGGAATTGGGGAAGTAATAATCATATAGGGGGGAGAATAAAATCCTAGGCTTGCTTACTTTGATTAAATCTTCGTTTTAAATTGCTTTTGCTATTGTCTTTTTAATTTGCTTAATTTAATTTAGTCTAATTTAGTTAATTCTCTCCAAATTCGACTGTGTAGGGTGAGCTTGATAATAATTCCTAGGATATAGCGTCTAGGATTAAATAAATAACTAAATATTCTCTGTAGGATCGATATCCGGACTTAATTGTCCACTTTATTACTTGTACGATACGTGCACTTGCGTGTTGTATACTAGATGGTACCAAACATTACCATGATATGGATCCTGGTGGCAGCGAAAGTCCAAATATTTCATCAAATTCTTATTATGAATCCAATAGAAGGTACGTTTCTGATCTTTATATAAAAAAAAAGTACATGATTGTTCAATATATTTGAGTATGTAAATCAAATTTTAATTGTAATATTATTGTCTTATATTTTTTGTATATTCTTAAAATATTAGGAATTCTCAATGCAGTGGAAGGGGTATATCCAATAGTAGAAAAATGATACAGTCTTCTTTGCATGGCTTACATTTGGAATCTTCACCAAGCACTTTGTTCGACGAGGATTTAAATACAATAAGAGAAATTACTTCAGATAGTGGAGGTAATCACTACTGTTTGACACTTCATTTTTTACGTAAAATTGCTCGATTAGTACATGAGGAAATAGTCAAATTACATGAAAAATACTTTTTTTGTATAGATTCTGAATATGTTTCAAACGACGACGCAAGTGATGATTCAGCTGATTATAATGGTAACAAGTTTTTTTAATTTTTAACCATATTATTATAACTTATTTAAGCTAAATGTATAATGATATTTAGTATCAATTTAATTGGTATAAATATAAATGACAAAATTCATAAAAGAATTGGAGACAACCCAGTACTCTTGAATTCAAAGAAATTATTTCAGCAGCTTAATGTGGATGGATTTTCGATGGTTGAATCCCAGAGATTAAATTTCATAAGGCTTAACCAAGATCAACTTAGGGTTGATATGTACAAGAGCATTGAAGAAAGAGTTGGAAGTGGAGATAATGGTGGCAAATCAGTTGGTACACGAATTATTATTCCAGCAACATTTGCAAATGGACCGAGATATATGTTCAACAACTTCATAGACGCACTACAAATATGTAATTGGATTGGGTTTCCATCATTGTTTATAACTATAACATGCAATTCAAAGTGGCCCGAAATACAAAGAGCGTTGAAAGATAAGAATTTGCGCCTAGCAGATCGACCTGATGTTCTTTGTCGAATTTTCAAGATGAAGCTTGACAGTTTGATTGCAGATTTCAAGAAAGGACATATTTTCGGATGAATTAAATCATGTAAGTACCAAAATAATAGTGTCTTTCACACATTCAACTATTTTGAAGATAACATAATGTTACTTTTTATTTACTTATTGTTCAGTACGCCACATCATAATTGCATGTTACAAAACTGATATTACTTTCTTTATAAATGTTAAAGTACAATTGAGTTTCAAAAGCGCAGACTACCACATGCACATATACTACTTTGGCTGCATAATGACGACAACCCCAAGTGCTCCGAAGATATTGATCGAATTATTAATGCGGAAATCCCTGACAAAACTTCTGATAGAAAAATGTATAAATTGGTGAAGAAATACATGATTCACGGTCCGTGTGGTCAAGCTAATATGAAGTCTCCATGCATGAATAATGGTGTTTGCTCGAAACAACTTTCGAAGAGGTTTGTTCAACGTACGGAAGCTGGTGGAGATGGTTATCATTCATACAAGAGAAGGGACAATGGGAGGACCGTTACGAAGAAGAAGAACAATGAATATTATTATTATTATTATTATTATTATTATTATTATTATTATTATTATTATTATTATTATTATTATTATTATTATTATTATTATTATTATTATGATGATTATTATTATTATTATTATTATTATTATGATGATTATTATGATGATGATTATGATTATGAGTTAGTAGTAGTTATTATTATTATTATTATTATTATTATTATTATTATTATTATTATTATTATTATTATTATTATTATTATAATTATTATTATTATTATTATTATTATTATTATTATTATTATTATTATTATTATTATTATTACTATGATTATTATTATGATGATTATTATGATGACGATTATTATTATTATTATTATTATTATTATTATTATTATTATTATTATTATTATTATTATTATTATTATTATTATTATTATTATTATTATTATTAAACTCCGAATATAGTTTTTCTTAAATAACTTAATTAACATCGAGTACACTATTCTAAACTATTATTGGTGTAGGTACCTATCGGCTTGCGAGGCCAGTTCGAGGTTATTTGGATATTATTCACTATAGAGACTCACCTGCAATGCGATTGTGTTTTCATCTGCCTGACTGTCAAACAGTTGTGTTCAATGATAATCAACCTTTACATAATGTGCTAAGCCGACTGTCTGCTAAACAAACAATGTTCTTAGCTTGGTTTCAAGCAAATAAGAGGTATCCAGAAGCTAGAGATAATAAATATGCAGATTTTCCACAACAATCCGTGTACAATGAAAACTCTTTAAGGTGGCAGTCCAGAAAAAGAGGGTTTACAATTGGAAGAATTAGAAGTGTTCCCCCAGGAAAGGGAGAAGACTATTACCTCAGACTGCTACTTAATATTCAGAAAGGCTGCACAAGCTTTGAAGATATCAGAACTGTGAATAACAATATTACCCAACATTTAGGGATGCATGCTATGTACTAGGATTGTTAGATGATGATAAAGAGTACATAGATGCTATCAAAGAAGCAAGTATATGGGCAAACAGAGCTTACATGCGAAGGTTATTTGTTGTCCTGTTGATTTCAAATAGTTTAACCAGACTAGAACATGTTTGGGAAAGCTGTTGGTCAGATTTGTCGGATGATATTGCATACAAAAACCAACAACGTCATAATAATCCAGGTATCTCATTTTTTAAATGCGCATAATATTTTCATTTGTTCAGTATTTTAATTTGAACTTATATTTTTTTACAAGAGAACAACCTTGATAAAATATTATCATCTCTTCATAAATGCAAATTTGACTTTATCAGATGACAGCTTAAAAAATTATGCTTTACTTGATATTGAGAAAATCATGTAAAGCAACAGTAAGAGTTTACGTAATTATGACTCTATGCCACTTCCAGTTGAATCGCTGGTAGATGAAAGTGGAAACAAGTTAGTGCTCGATGAACTAGAGTATGATTTGCAATGCGTGACGAACTAACAAAGTAACTCTCTACTATCACCACAGAGCAGAAAAAAGTTTATGATACAATCATGTCTGCTGTAACAAATAAGAGTGGTGTAATGTACTTTTTGAATGGTCATGGTGGGACAGGAAGACATTTATATGGAAAACATTATCTGCTGCAATTCGTTCTAGAGGAGAAATTGTAATTAATGTTGCATCAAGTGGTATTGCATCCCTACTACTTCCCGGCGGTAGAACATCTCATTCTAGATTTGGACTTCCAATTATTGTGCATGAGGGTTCCACTTGCAGCATCAGTTAACAAAGTCCACATGCAGAGTTATTGATGAAAGCAAATCTTATTATATGGGATGAAGCGCCAACGATGCATAGTTATTGTTTCGAAGCAGTGGACAACACCATGAGATCTATCTTACAGTCGGACGAACCTTTTGGTGGTAAGGTGGTCGTTCTTGGAGGTGATTTTAGGCAAATTTTACCGGTTATTTTAAAACCATCTAGACAAGATATTGTTCATTCTACAATCAAGTCATCACCATTGTGGAAAAATTGTAAAGTCCTAACGTTACACAAGAATATGAGGCTTCAATCGTGTGCTTATTCCTCTACTGTAGAGGAAATAAAGGAATTTGCAGATTGGATACTAAAAATTGGTAATGGTGAGGTTGGAGAGGAAAACGACGGTGAAGCTTCAATTGAAATTCCACATGATATGTTAATTCGTGATTCCGACGACCCCTTTTCAGAGTTGTTGCAGTTTGTTTATCCAGATTTCTTAAGTAATATTTTCGCTCCAGATTACTTCCAAGGTAGAGCAATACTTGGACCGACTAATGAAAGTGTGGATTTTATTAATGATTATTTGTCGTCACTCATCCCTGGAGAAGAGAAGGAATATTTGAGCTCAAATAGTATTTGCAAAGATGAGGCAACTACTAAAGTTAACGCGGAAATTTATTCTGCAGAATTCCTCAATAACATAAAATGCTCCGGACTTCCTTCACATAAGTTGATATTAAAAGTTGGGGTTCCGGTTATGCTCATAAGAAATATTGATCAAACTAGAGAATTGTGCAATGGAACTAGGCTTCAAGTTACTCAAATGGGAACCCACGTTATTAACTGTAAGATTCCTTCTGGTAAGCATGTTGGTGATATGGTATTCATTCCGCGAATGACTTTGATACTTTCAAATTGCACATTGCCAATCAAATTTCAACGACGGCAATTTCCGGTGATTGTTTCATTTGGCATGACGATTAACAAAAGTCAAGGACAAACACTTTCACATGTCGGACTATACCTTCCACGGCCTGTTTTCAGCCACGAACAATTATATGTGGCATTGTCTAGAGTAAAAAGTAGGTATGGCATAAAGATACTCATCAACTCTGAATCGGGTGAACTGTGCAATGTCACTAATAATGTTGTGTACAAAGAAGTGTTTCAACGAATTTGAGGTACACATTTACTAACTTCACATTTCCAAAACAATATGGTTATCTTTTTTATTATTTTTATTAATACATTTCATGCACGTACATGTCTATTGGCAATAAGTACTCTCCAACATACTTTCTCCCAAGGTAATATAATAATAATTTTTTTTTTTGTGGATGTTACTTTAGTAGTAATGATTGATTTGAAACCAATATTTATTATCATTGTGATGTTATTTTCATTAATGATGTAGGTGCAATGAAGAAAGTGTTCTTTCATTTGGTTAGGACATAATATGTATTTTAAGTTGAAGATATAACTGTTTGTTTTATTTCATATAACTTTCTAATATCATTGAAAAATGTTCATCATATTTGTTTTAACGACCACTACTAACATTCACTCCATATATATATATATATATATATATATATATATATATATATATATATATATATATATATATATATATATATATTATTCACAATAAAAAAACCATACTTTTTTCTAAATTTGTTAGAATTATCTTTTCCCTATGTATTCGATTATGTGTTACAATATGACAAAATAATTATCACAATATTCACCGTGCATTGCACGGGTTTATTACTAGTTAATATTAAAGTTAACTAATGTTAAGTCAGCTAACCGAAACTCCCGAGACCCAGACCACCGTCGCCAAAAATGTTATATTAAAAAAGAAACAAAAAAAAAAAAAAAACACAGGCAGATCAGACCGGGTAGGACCCGACTTGGCGGATGGGGTGTGATGGGATGGGGATGGGTTCGACTTATCTCATATAGAAACATGTTGGGATATTTGTGGAATTTATATTTTTATAGGTTTATTTGAAATGAAAGTTGAAAGTGGGTTAATTAATTTATGGAATTAAATTCCCAGCGGATGCTCCGTATATTTAAGAAAAGCGGATGCCATAGATTGCAAGACACGTGGCATATTTTATTTTTAAACTTATATAATTATTATTCCCCGTGGTTAATTATTAGGTTTAGGACTCCTTGGGAAACTAAACGGTATAAAACTCAAAGAACAACAAACCAGAAACACAAACGTCATATACAAATTCTTTGATTTTTCGATCTTAGAAGAAAAAAAGTGGCAACACGTTCAGGAACACCATATACAACGTTCTTCGAGGTATGTTCTTTAACGATAGACAAGTACTTTAATCTTTTACGAAGTACTAAAACGAACCAAACTTAATCTTGCTTGTCACACACTTTTTTTTTCGTTCTTTCTTTTTATTTATGCATACATCTTCAATTTATTTAAATGATATATAGTGTATTTATGATACAAACTGCTATTCAAAAAACAAGACATAACATATGAATTTTTGGGAGTTGTAAATATATTGATAATTATGTTTCGCTAGGATTTTTTTTTCCTGGAAGAAATTAATGGAAAGGGAGAAATAGTTCAATATATTCGTCTTAAATTAGTTCACAACTCATGTGCAACACTTCACAAACACGTGGAATAACAGATACTAAAAGCCTTAGTTTCCCATGATGAGAAACATGAGATAGTTTTGATAATTACTTTGACAAGTAACTAAAAATGATGACTTCGTTTTAGAACCACATAATCTGTTAATCAATAGTTTAAAATCAAGGAATTATTTTAAATATTTTAATCTACAGCTTTTACCAACATTTGAAATTTTCAGTTTTAATTTGTTATTTTCTTGTGTGCTCATTGTGTAATTGTTTTTATGAATAGTAATGGCAAGTACAAGTGTCGAGATGGTAGACATGAGCATAATTGATGTCCCTTCAGAAACGTGGACTTCCAATCAGCTTGAATCAGAAAATAACGAAAAAATCTCAGGGGCATAATTTTCCTCTTGAACCATGTAAAGACATGGTATTTGATAGTGCATTAGATGCTAAGACTTGTTACAAAGCATATGCAAGGCGTGTTGGATTTGGTACAAAAGTAAATCATACTCGGTTGTCACAGTCAGACAAGTCACTGATTGGTGTAGACTATGCATGCTCAAGAGAAGGACAATCTAAACAAAAAGATCAAGAAAAAACAAAGCAATCCAAAAGAACTCAATCGGAGACAAAAATAGGATGTAAAGCAATGATGCGCGTGAGTTTAAATCAAGATATAGGAAAATGGGTGGTAACGAAGTTCATTATTGATCATAACCATGAGCTTTATACTCCAAGGACTACAAGCTTGCTTCGAGGACATAGAAAAATCACAACAGCTCAAAAAAATATTATAAATGTGCTTAACGAGGCTGGGATTCCTGCAACAAAAATAATGTCAGTGTTAAGTCACGGATCAGGTGGTGAAGCAAATGTCGGTTGAACTTTAGTAGATGTTCAAAATCATATAGGAAATAAAAGGAGAGGGCTTCTCAAAGAAGTGGATGCACAAAGAATGTATAATTATTTCATGGAGTGTCAATCGAAAAATCCAGGCTTTGCTTATTCAATCCAGATAGATGATAATAATCGCATGGAAAATTGTTTCTAGGCAGATATAAGGTCAAGATTAGCATATCGATACTTTGGCGACGTGGTTACTTTTGATGCAACGTATTTAACTGATCGCTATGGGATGCCTTTTGTTCCTTTTACTGGGGTTAACCACCATCATCAATCAATTATGTTTGGGTGTGCTTTACTTGTCAATGAGACAATAAGTTCATATGTGTGGTTGTTACGAACGTGGCTTGAAGCAATGTCTGGTCGTGCTCCCTCTGTGATTATTACTGATGAAGACAAATCCATGCGAGCCGCCATTACAGAAGTACTACCAAATACAACTCATCGATTGTGTATGTGGCATATTTTGCAAAAAGTTCCAGAATATTTGGCGCATATTTTCAACAAATATCCTTCTTTTCAAGGAGAATTTCGTCATTGCATTCATGAAACAATCACAATTCAAGAGTTTGAACATGAATGGGTGGAATTGATTAAAAAATATGAGTTACAAGAGAATGATTGGCTAACCAAGTTATACGGACAGCGTGAGCGGTGGATTCCTGCATACTTACGGGGTATATTTTGTGCTGGCATGTCAACAACACAGAGAAGTGAGAGTATGAATAATTTTTTTAAAGGATTTGTTCGCTCAAGTACATTAGTAAGTGACTTTGTGCATCAATATGAGAAAGCCTTAAACTCGAGGTATATTAAAGAAAAAGAAAAAGATTTGAAGACAAAGAATACTAAACCAGCTTTGAAGACATGTTACAAAATTGAAGCAGAAGCAGCTGAGATCTATACTAGAAAATTATTTTTGATGTTTCGGGAAGAATTATTTTCAAGTCAAAAATACATGTCTTCGAAACACTACCTGGATGGGTTCAAGAAGTGTTATCATGTGATGCCAATTGGAGAGAAAAAACCAACATATGAAGTGGTCATTGACATATCTGAGAAGAATGCCATATGCTCATGTCACATGTTTGAATTTGTTGGAATTCTTTGTAGACACATTCTTGCAATTTTCGTAAAAAAATCTCTCACTAATTCCTTGCCGCACTAGTATGTCTACAGAGATGGACAATAAATGCTAAGTCAAGTGCCTTAGGAGAGAATGATGGTGGGTTGATATAAGAAGATCCTGAAGCTTCTTCTACGTTGAGAAGGAATAACCTATGATGCAATTTTTGGAAGTTGTTGAAGAAGGACAAAAATCACAAAAAAAACATGATTATCTTGCCCTTGCCCTACAAAAGGCTCATTCTGGACTTTTGGATTTGGACAATGAGAGTGACGGAGGCCGACTTCACGGTGACTTAACTTCTGAGAAACAACTTGGAAATAGTAGCCAACAATTATCTAATATATCGGTTACTTTGTTAGATCCACCGCATGTTTCTTCAAAAGGACGACCTAAGTCTTTAAGGCAAAAACATCCTATGGAGACTCAAGTTGGCAAAAAAAGAAAATGTAGCATTTGCAAACAAACTGGACATATCAAGACCAGCATTTCATTGTAAGTTTTTATTATTGTAAATTTTACGTTTTTCTAAATTATATTTTTCAGTTGCTTATTTACTTTATACATTTTCCTATTTTAGGCAAAACGCTACTTCAAGCCGTTCACAAAATTTTTCTAAGGTAAACTGTAATAAATATTTTAAGTTACTACATGCATTTTACTTGAATTCTTTTAGTATTAATTTGGGTGTATATGTTTAAGGAGTTGCCAACCATGAGATTTTCTTCATCTCTAAATTATATTTTTCAGTTGCTTATTTACTTTATACATTTTCCTATTTTAGGCAAAACGCTACTTCAAGCCGTTCACAAAAATTTTCTAAGGTAAACTGTAATAAATTTTTTAAGTTACTACATGCATTTTACTTGAATTCTTTTAGTATTAATTTGGGTGTATATGTTTAAGGAGTTGCCAACCATGAGATTTTCTACATCTCCTCTATCTTTGATGCCTAAAAATCAAGAACCTCTAAGTTTTACGGTAGGCAATTAAATTCTAAACGTGTAGACTAGAATTTCTGTTTAGTGTTCATTAGTTTATTTATATTGATTTGATTGTATACTTTTTTTTTTGGTAGGAATTGGTGATGGATGATGGTGGTAACCACAAAGTAGATCCTGGACACCATTGAATGTGGAAAGTTTGTTGCAAATGCTTTGAAACAAAACTTGCAATGTCTTCAGAATTTAATTTGCTTATTCTAATTTTTTTTTTTTTTACTTTTTGCATGGCTGTTAACTTACTCCATCATTTTATTAGGGATTTGCTTTTTACCGTTTGAAAATTGCTATTTACCGTTCAAAGACACTCTCTCTCTCTCTCTCTAAAAAAAATCGCTCTCAAGACGATTTCTTCACAAATCAATCTTATTGGTGTGATATACGAACATAAATGAGTTCATCGAATGAAGATCTGGATAGCGGACACAGCGAGGTAAAAATTCCGTCTTTTCGATCGAAAAAAATGGGCTAAACATTCAAAAGCCCATCTCGGGC